CTGCACACGGCGACCGTTAGGCGTGTGAGGCGCCCGTTAGCCTGCACGCGGCGACCGTTACCTCCGCACCGTGACCGTTAGGCGCCTGTTAGCCCGCACACAGCGACCGTTACCTGCACACCGCAGCTGTTGCCTGGGCAAGCGCGGGCTCCCCTTTTCAGCCCTTCCCCGGTAAGCAGACGGTGGCAGTTGTTGGAGGAGTTGTTGTTGTTGTTGTTGCTGCTATTTTGGCCCGTTGACTCAAGCAGGATTTTGGGTATGGTTTTGCTGCCACAAAGCAGAACTTTTCAGTTCTGGGCAATTTCAGTTTATTGGAAGGCAGAGCGTTTACTCGAAGCTCTTTGGTGCCGCGATTGCTCATGTTCACGGTTACTAATCACCTCCCGCGTTCACGGCCGTGCAGAGCTGAGCTGCTGCAGCAGCTCTTGAAATTCCCCTCTGAACAATGCAGGGGTATAAATAGAAAGCAACGTGACTTAGGTGTATTTTGGAGATTCTTACATATTTCACAGTCGCATCAGGTATTAGTTCATTTTCTTAAGAATCTGGAATGGATCCCGCCTTGTATCCTCATGGACGTGACCTCTCCCCAAATCACATGAAATGCAGTCACGTTTTTAGAGTTTTGCTTTAAAAACAGATGCATACCAGGTCAGAAACTACAGAACTGGTGCTGGTTCATATGTATTGCTCTGAAATATCTGGTATATGTTTCCTGCTTCTGTAGTCCTGCAGCAATAGTATGTAAAGGAAATAGTTGTTAATGCAGTTTGTGAAATGTTTTGGAAAAATATTGAGCTTAGTTCTGGCTGAACTTGAAGTATGGAATAACTTGAGTAAAACACTTGTTTGGAAAATTTCCAGTAGTGAAGTGTTATTTTTATATAGTAAGTCTAGACATGGTACAGCTTTGCACTTGACAGAATGTTTAAACTATCTTGTAGACCTAAAGCCATTTTGTTGCTAGACAATGCTCTTTCTTATTACATGTGTCTGCAGATTTTGTTAGTAAGGGTAGAATTTAACTAATACCCATCAATATACAATGTGTGGCAGCTTTCGTTTTAGAAAGCAGTGCAAAGAAACTGTGAGATTACTTATTCCCAAAATCTTGCACCAAATTCACTGCACAGTGTTTCAACTCTGGGAATCCTGAAGCCGTGTTAGTCACTTGGAATGAAGTGGGTTCGTTTGGATGTGGTGTCCTTCTAAAACCCCTTCCCTATGGAGAAGTGGGCAGGGGTCCTCCCGGGACACGCAGGCAGGACGGCTGCATCCTCAGCTCAGCAGCGGTGGCCATCGTACCTGCCGCTACGTTCACACGAGGGTCTTCTTGCCCAGGGTGCCCACGTGGTTTCTCCTAAGCGTTGGCAGGTTTGTCCCTGCCTCACCAACCTGGTATTCCCCCTGGTTCAGCTGCCCTGGGGAGATGGGAATCTCCCTGCCTGAGGTGAGTATCCCAGGTTAGGGTTCTAGCAGCCCCAGGACGTTTCACCTGGTCTCTTACCTTTCCCTTGTACCTTTCCATCCTCCCTCTGGTTTCCCCATGAAACAGCTCCGTGGAGACCACGACATTTGCTTTGAGGTGACAGGGAAGGAAGCAGATGGCACACAGGGGCTGTAGAGCAGCCTGGGGCAACGTGTGCTAAGTGCAGCGGGGTTGGCTGGTCGTGGCTAAAAGTTCTGCCAAATTGTAGCTGTTACGCTGCTGCAAGGAGCTGAGGAAGCTCCCCTTTAAATTTGGGATTCTCACCACTTTTGTGCAAATGTGCAAGGCAAGAGGTGTAAGAGCACACATGAATGCAGAAAATCCTCGTTCCTTTGCACATGAGGTGCTTGTGGTCTGTCCCCGTTCTTCTCAGTTCTCGGCTTGCAGTGGGTCTGTGGGAGGGGAGGGAGCAAGTGATGTCTGTTTTTAAAGTACATAGCTTCAAAGTACACATAATTCTACTCTGCTCTAGCTGTCGTGCCTTTCTGCAGGGATAACCAACCTAAAAATCAGCTGTTGCTTAACACCATGTATTGGGAGTCACAGTTTAGCAGAGTCATCAGGCAAAATTAATTAGAAAGGATTCACGAAATAAACATTCTGAATTTTCTGGAGTTGTAGAATAGTACAGTAAAATACTTTTAAATGGTTTTTCCACTTTTTAGGGACTGGTAAAAGGCATTCATTCCTCTTAAGAGACCAAAATGTTATTTGCATGGATTGTGCCTTCAGCAGTTTGGTTTTTGGTGCACGTCACAGCAGGTAAGGATTTCTTTTTTTTGTTTCCTGCATAGAAATTATCACTTAAAAGAAGCACTCGGGTCAGGAATTTTTCTTTAAATTCCTATGTGGTGCATGATTAAGCATCTTAATGGAGGAAGCAATATTGCCTTAGATTTATGTTATAAAACCTTTGAGAACTGATCGATCCGGTGCTGCTGCTGAGCGACTTCCCATTGTTCATGACAATGTAACTTGTTGTTTATATCTGTTTGTGACAGAATAGAGAGTCAGGTTTTGGTAGAAAAGACAAGTCTGCTCAGGCACTGGCAGCTCTTTTACCGTTTATGCATTTCGTAACCATGTGCCCTTCAAGTCAGTTCCAATTGTGTATTTAAGGTAGTATATAGCAATTAATTGCTAATAAGTTGTTGTTTTTTAATTTGAAGTAGAAGCATGCAGCTGGTTACAGGAGAAAACATGTCTATGGTGAATTCCCACAGAGATTTTTCATAACTCCAGAGTAAATAGAAGTATTGCTCCATCATTTTTCTGTACCCCCAGCATAAGTGTCCCCAAGCCTGCCATCAAACACATATCCTTGCATGCTGCATTCAATATTGCCTGCTCAGCCTTTTATGTGCTCTGGAATTTTGAAAAGAAAATATACAGGAGGAAGTCTAGTGAAATCAATGAAAATTTGACTGTTTTTTTTTTCTTTAGCAGAGACATGTCTGCCACTTTTACTGAAATGCAGATAGGTCTGTAAACAGAAGCAAAGTAAAAGTTCTTCTGGCAGGTTTTTGCCTTAGGTTGTACTTTTTCCGTATGATGACTGGTGCTAGACTTTATTTTCTAATCTCTGGCCAGTGAAGATTGTGGCAAAGCAATATGTTATGAGTAACAGTGCAGAGACAGGAATTCTTAAATTATAAATTTGAGAAGCCTGTCTTCACAGAGTGCAGTATATGTTACAAGATAAAGGATATATTATTTTAAAAGTCTGTTTTCCCTTTTTGTTTCAGAAGCATATGCTAAAGGAAACCTGACTGCTAGGAAACCCGGTGCTGCAGAAGTATGCGATAAAGGCAACATGACTGCTAACACCGCTTCTCACGTCCAACCTGGAGCGAATATTACCCTCTCGTGCCAGCTAAAGCAACCAAAACAGAAAGAGCAGTGCAAGATAGCTATCTTCTTTAACAGTTCTGAACTAAGTAGCAATTATGGCAGTTCAGTAAGCACCAGATTTCTAGTCCGTACATATGGCAAACTCACATTTACCTGCAAAGTAGTTTGTAATCACAGGAAAAAACTCATCTGTGGAATTGATATAGAGTCTGGAAGTAAGGACAGTTCCATTATTCTCTATTCTTACTCATTTTCTCTGGTACTTCTGAGACATATGTTACAAATGAGTAGTGGGTGGCCTTTTTTGAAATGGTGCTTTGTTTATTGGCTCCTTTTTTTGTAAGATATTGTAGGCTGAAACTGCACCACTGCAGAGGATCACTTTACAAATGAGTAGTGGGTGGCCTTTTTCGAAATGGTGCTTTGTTTATTGGCTCTTTTTTTTTGTAAGATATTGTGGGCTGAAACTGCAACACTGCAGAGGATCTCCCCTGGCTCCCAGCCACTCACATGGATGGTCAGGATCAACCATATTTGCATCTTTTCCTTCTTTTGGGGGAAACTGCATACAGTTGTCCCTCTGCACCCACTGTGTATCACCATGCAACCTTCCAAAAATTCCATGGCAGTTTATACACAGTGATGATGCTTGTCTTGTCCAACTGGCTGCACTGTAGCAAGTGAGAGCAGGAGTCCAAGTCACTGATAAATGGAAAGATGTTAAAAAGAACCGCTTGTTGGAGCAAATACAAGACTTTCTTTTTCCTGGGCTCCCCTTGAAACCCACATCTCCAGTCCACAGGGAACTTGCAAGAAAGATTCTCAGGAAAGGAAATCTCAGGTTTTCTTCTAGTTGTAGAGAAGCTGAAGCTGCTCCAGTAACCTCCTGCTATATCAGTGGAAGATAGGCTTCTCTCTTAAAAAATAATCTTTTGTTGCTTCAAGTAGAACTTGTGGCGCCCAGTTGTGACAGATTTTTAAGCACTTTTATTCATTTCATCAACCTCGTAAAGTGACTTAGGTTTGTTAGAGGTCTCAACGGATTGCAGAGATCCCAGAGATAGACCCAAACATTTTTTGCATGTATAAATTGAAAGCTGAAGTTTTTTGCTTGTGTATGAACTCTTTAAAAAATTCCTAGCATTTATTAATATTTTTCCCACTATTATTTTTAAAAAGGACACTGACAATCTCTATTTAAGATCCTCCAGATCAGCCAAAAAATGTATTGTGTATACAGTATGGGACAGATAGTAATCCTACCTGCAGCTGGAGTAAAGGAAGATTAACATTCATCAACACTACATATGAAATAAAGTAAGTAACATATGGATATATCTTTGTAATATTTATAATTGTCTCTTAGACTTTTTTTTTAATTGACGTTTGTTACAGATTTTCTTTCTTTTTATCCAAGCACACAAAAGATTCAGTAAGTTATGAATAAACCAGTCCAAAGCTCTCATGATCACAAAGGCCAGTTGTAGCTTTAAAAAGATTTTTTTTGTTTACATTTGTATATGCTGTACAACAGTAATTCAATTATTTCTGGGTTAAGCAGTTAAAGAGAATATACCGAGGCGTGTCGTCTCTTTTGAAAAATGGATGTTTAATATTGGAATTTGTCTTAAAATGGCTGGTTAAACCTGATGCTTTCCCTGTGGTGAATTTTCTGTTGAGTTATTCCGTGACTAGCAATACCTCTACCAGGAAATCTAGAACATGAGCTTGTCGCTTTAGCTAAGGATATGGAGAAGGAAATGTGCCTGGAAATGTGGTGGTGTCAGTTTTGTTCAGGAACCAAGGGTGCTGTTGCTCCCTCTCATTTTGCTGACCGTTTCCTGAAACAGATTGTGAAGACTTCCACAACAAGTGATAAGGAAGGAGCACAGATTTTAGTTAGCCTCTTGGGATAGCACTGGGAGATCCTTTTGATGAGAACGGTAATTTAGGGAATTGGTCAGAAACCCTACCCCCCCCCTCCCCACCCCCCCCCCCAAAAAAACCCTACTCAACCAAGCATATACATAGAATTAATTAATTTTGCTATTTAAAAACAGCTGGGTAGATTGAACTTATTCCCATTTTTTCAGAGATCTTTTAGGCAGACTGTTCGTTTTGCTAGGCTCGTTATTACCTATTTCCATGGGTCAAAGAAGTAGCAATGATCTTTTAGTATTTGTACAAACCAACCACTGCTCTTTAATCAGAAGGAGAACATAAAGTTAAATTGCGGAAGAGTGGGAAAGTATGAGGATAATGGGTAAGGATACACAGATATATAGGAGGACTTTGGTGAATTATTAAATATTTTACAAAATATAATCTTCTCTGATTCAAGCAGAAAGAGCAGAAAGGCTAAATAAGTTATCCAGTGCAGTGGGATGAATGATAGATGGAAATAAGTCATGTTTGAAGTCAAGCCATTTGACTATTAGATTACAGATACATTAAATGTTTAGACTACTGACTAATGTATGTAAATAAGCCCATAATCAGCCCAGATTCTTGGATGCCAACATCTATGCTCAGTTATAAAGAAATACCAGGTAGCTGTCATGTTGTCAAAAAGAGCATACTCGTGTATTTGCAGCTCGGTGGAAAATCCAGAGGTATTTATTTTGTCTGCAGTTAAAATCAAAATGCAGTATAACACCTTGCTATCAATTTAGCATAGAGGGGTATTTGCTGTAAATATAGTACTTCAGCTGTCTTGAAAGTGCTTATTTAAGCAGAAAAGGTATATCTTTCATCTGAATTTGAAGAGAGAGATTACCTCATTTTCAATAGAATTGTCCTTCACTTGAAAGACAATTTTCTTACAAGCTGTTGAAAGAGTTGCAGTCTCAACAAATACAAACATAGTTTTATGGGAATCAGATAGCCCTGCACATCGGGGGAATCTGACCTTCACAATGTATGGAAAAGTATTAACCAAGAGTTTTCCTTCTATTCTAGGCTATCGAATGAGACTGATAAGTTGTGTTTTTTAGAAGAAAATGTGAATAATAAATTTGGATTGCTGGATCTGAACATGAAGTTGAATTTTAACTCCACTTACACAGTTGTGGTTGCTGCCTCCAATGAACTAGGAAAAGCTCTTTCACAGCCACTCGTGTTCATGTTGATAGACATAGGTAAATGCAATGCTTAACTCCTTTCAGTTAGTCCTAGGTATTTAGAAAAAAATGGAAACCATTTAAACACTATAATTTAAACTAGAAGAAGTACCTAATCTAATAAGCTTCTTTTTCTAGTATTCCATTTAATCCTACTTTTCTAATAATGCTGCATGTCTAAGTGCTCTTTTCTTATTTGTGTTTTTGCTGCTAGTGAAACCACATCCTCCCAAGTTTTTAGTGAAATTTGAGAATTCTTCTGCAACAAACTGCACAGTTTTTTGGAGTGACGAAGCACAAGCTCAGCACTTTAGACTAAGATATCGTTCACTTAACAGTTACATGTGGAATATGGTAATCTTTTTTTTTTTTTTGAATAAATGAAATAGTGATCCTTGGAGGTTACTAAATTTTAATACTGCCAGTATGAGTTCATTATCTTTTTACTAGATTCGATTTGTTCAAATTATCCTCTGTTCTGTGGCATCACATAAGAAAAAACTGTCAGTCATAAACTCTTCCATTGTTCTAAAACTGAATGAAAGCAAAACCCTGACCAAGTAAGGGATCGTGTGCATGAATATTTTTCCTTATATTAACTGATGGATGATGCTCTGAAGAATCAGAGCTTATGTTTGAAGCAGTTCTTTACTGAAATGCGATCATTTCTTCTATTTGTAGTTCAGGAGCACGGTTGTGTTTCCGCCTGCTTGTGCCTTTTTTAATGTCTTCGTTTTTATTTTAAAGGGTGATACAAGTTATATAAAGTTATGTAAACTTGTTGTTATATAAATATGATAAGTTACAAAGTTATGAAAATATGTGAAGAGAAAATGTATTATTTTCATATAATTAAATGAAGGATTTTTCTCATGAAGACCTGTGAACTTAATACTCATTGTGACATAGTTTGTAAAGTTGTTTTAGGTTAGGATTTTTTTTTTTTCATTGACATTTTTCTTTTTTTATAAACTATCATTTTCTTATTTTTGGCTTTATGGGGGCATTAGTAATTCAGACTATCACTATCTTCCATCATTTTATTTCCGTGTGAGTTTATTGTTTTATGTCCTTTATCTTCATTAAAGGTTGAAAGTTTAAACAGTGAAAAATGCAATCTTTATGGTCTGCAGCCTTATACAGAGTACGAATTCCAGGTTAGTTGTAAAATTCATCCTGAGAGAGGACTCTGGAGTAACTGGAGAACTTTTCAAACCCGGACTCCGGAAGCAGGTAATAAAATTTGTGATCTGTTACACTAAGCCTGTATCTGAAGTTTACAGAAAGGGTATATTTTAACTAATAAATTCAGAATGCTAGTAGGCTTTTCCTCCTGGTTAGAACTATCTAAAAACCCCAGAACCAGAGCCAACGGGGAAGTAAACTTTCTTAATGATTAAAAAACAGCTTCAAGTTTCTTACAAAACAGGAATTTCAAGAATCTATTGCAGTAAATCTGAAGAATATATTCTTCTGACACTGTTGAAAATTGGAGATTTTTTTTCCACATTGCCTGAAGCATAGCAGCCTGCCACATTGCCATACAGCTGGAGAGGTCAGAGAAAGCCTGGGCATTTTAGCTGTGTAAAGTATTTCACAGTATCAGCTCACGTGTTAGGGGTTTCCTGAATTCCTCAGCAGTCCCTTACGTGAGTCTGGACATCTGCCTTGTGAACCTCTGCTGCAAGGGAAGCTCGTGCTGGGAACATGCTCCTGGTTCTAGAGCTCGCCAGGCAACTTGCCGAGAAGTCAAATAACTGGCCAGAAAACTACCTGGGTTCTCTCAGTTCTGTTGTCGTTGACAAGTTATAACAAAACAGATTGTTTTTTCTCAAGCCAACTTTTTCCAAGTAGAAAAGCTTTTCAGACAGAGAATTCCCAAACGGCTCCTTCCACAAAGCAGTGGAGATCTGTGTACTTTTGATAGAGCAGGATGTGGTCGCGTATTCCAGAGACCAATCTCATCTCAAAGTAGAAGGTGAGCACACAGCATTTCTACCTCACAGGAATGCAGAGCAGATTCCAGGGAACACACAGCACGAGGACAATTAAAGCAGCCTGTGCCAGGTCTAATATTAGATGTCTCAGGCTCGCGTGTCCGCTTGCCCGGCCTCTCACTGAGCTGCGTGAAGTCACGTGCTGCAAAACTTTCAATTCTTGTGAAAAAAGAAAGCTTCTCAGAAGCTTATCTTTCAACAAATGTGTTGGCTTTTTTGGCATCCCTTCCTTTCATCTCATACTTGGCTTTCATTGTTCTTTTTTTTTGTGAAATACTATAAGATTTGCAGGTTTCTACTGTTATTACTCATGTTATTTACCACTACTGACAGCATCAGTTTCTGTAAGAAGCATTGATTGATACAGAAGGTGTGAACTTTTTCTTCCCTCCTCCACCTTCCTCTCAACAGTTTTCTTACCCTTTCTGATGCACTCTGGGTTGCTATGGTGTTTGTGGTCATCACCTCTTTTCATCAGCCTGGGGTGCAAAGAATCTCTTCAGCTAATCAAGAAGAATCTTCTGCCCCCAGGTTATGGGAGAGCAAGGTGCATAGGAAAAATTCCGGGTACATAACGACTGATCTTCTTTCAAATAGCTGCAGTTCTACATATGAGTTTGGCCTTTAGCAAATTCAGGAATGTGTCTTTTAATAAGATAATTCTTTTAATGCTTCTGTAGGCCTGACCTGCCACAAAGCTTGCTCTATGCAAGCAGTGGTATAAAATGGGTGGGGGATTTTTTGGCTTATTTGTGTTTCCCCTCCCAGCTAATTTGTGTGTTTCACATATGAAATGAACCCTAAAAGCTGGGCTGGAATCCAAGGGATGAAATCTGAGCATTTTTTTTCTCTCTTTATCTGTTTCTTTTTCTTTTATCTTTTTTTTTTTTTTTCCCCCAGATGTATGGAGCTTGCCTCTTCCTCTTTTCCTCTCTCCCCTCCTCCCTCCCTCTCTCCTGTTGAGTATATTTAGGTTTTATTTTTAACGTGGGTCTTGCTTTTTATTTTCTATTCCAGTCATTATTTTGCAGTTGATAAAGCAGAAAATTCTTAATGTTGCTGGTGTTGAGGATTTCCTCTGTCTTGGAATTTAGCCCTTGTCCCTTTCTAGTCAGGACGGGGCAGTGATGAGCTGTTTAGGTTATTAGTAACCTCATTATTATTTGCATTTGGTGAGTTTATTTTGCTCAAGGGCCTTGAGGAGCCAAGCTCTATATAAAGAAAATCAATGTGACAGAAGATAATGTGTCTCTCTGATTCTGAACTCTTTGAGCACATCATTCACTAGTTTTTGCAGTCCGAAGTTCACTTAATATTATTTTGGAGGATTTATTCAAAACTGTAGGGTTCAATGAATTTCAAACAGTCTATATATATTAGGGTTTTTTAGGGAGCATCTTCCTTGAACTGGCAGCCCGCTGTGCCTTTCCTCCCCTCCTGCCCCTGAGGACCTTAATTAGCTCGAATTTTACACAAAGATTGGAGTTAATCCTTCACTTGGCTTCATGGTCTTCCCTGTAAACCATTCTGATTACTTAGTGCGGAATAAAGTCGGTGACAGAGCATAATCCTGTCTTATTCTTATGTTTTGTTCTCTTTGTGATTACCCGGTTATATGGGCAATCATCAAAGAGCTGAAAATTAACCATAATAGAACATAAATACTTAATAATAATAATAAAAGGTAAAGACTGTAGTCTTTACTCTGGGTGTACACTGTTTCAGTCTAAAGTCTAATTCTGCTTCTTCATCTTCTTTTTCAACCAGTGCCTGCCCGGCTCTCAGGTGTTTGGTACAAAAAGCAGGATATGGACTCTCAAATGCAGAACATTTCTCTTTTTTGGAAGGTGAGTTGTTTAAGTAAAATCTAAGCAAATGCAATAGTATTGAGCAAGTTTAGAGGGGGGAACCATATTTTATATGTTTGTAGAAAAGCACGTAAACCAAAGACAGCACAGGGTTGTTTCAGCTGTTTTGTCCAGTGGTATGGAAGAAACCTTCACCACAGACTTTCTTCACTGTGCTAAATTCATCATCAGGCCTGTCCTTTCCAGAGTTTCCCTTTAAAAGGTCCCTGAGCTTTCTGTCACGCTGGAAGTATGACATGCTCCCAGTGTATCTTTTCAATGAATAGAGATCACATTTGGTAGATAAAGTGGAAGTAACGCAGAGTTGCCGTTTTTCTTTCAAAAACAGATTCCGCTCTCACTTTCCATACCCTGACCTGATGATATTATATATAAAGGTGCAAATAACTGCCTAGCAATCTTTTAAAATTTCTTTCCAATTAATATCTCCCAATTCTGAAGCCAGGTATAGCAGTAACAGATTTGAGTCATGGCAAAGGGAAACAAGACAAGCAACAATAAATAAAAATGTGTCGTCCTGCTTTAGATGCAGAAGGATGCTCCTAGTTGCCTCCTTTCTGTGGAACAGATACAGGCAGAGAGTGTCGTGCTAGGAGCCAGCAGAGTGTCACTGTTATTACACTCCAGCACACAGAGGCCAGGCCTTAAGAGCGGTCTGCCCACCGTGGGCTGTTACACTGTTTTGTTTTACAAAATGAGTAACTTTCTTTCTTTTTTAATAATAAAGGATAATTATCTTTGATTTCTGGCTTTCTGTCTCTAGTTAACCTCTTTATCTTTTCTCCAAAAAGCTAGCCCTAGACTTTAAGTGAAAGCAGAAATCACCAGTTGTGGCTTTAAGATATAAAGCTTGCAATAGAAGATTGACAGCACTTTATCTTAGCAGGCTTCCTGTGGTGTCATTCATAAAATGGTTTGATATTTTAAAGTCTTTACAACAGATACAAAGCAGAAGACATAGACTTAGTACAATGTATAAGCATCGTATATTTTTGTATTTTCACATTAATACAAAAAAGGAAAAAAAAAAAAAATCAATTGACAGATTAGTTTCAGAACATTTTCAAGTGTTTTTTTTTGCCTTTCTTCCAGTCTGTGATCTTGATAGTTTACATATGTATGTATATATATGTTTTATATATATATAAGTTTTATAAATATATATATAAAGTTATATATGTATATAAGTATTATATATATATATATATATATGTGTGTGTTTTGTATGTACACACACATTTTCTCTGCAGGCTTTAAGCAAGTCAGAAGCAAGAGGAAAAATCCTGCAGTACACTGTGACCTTTCAAGCACTAAACCACAATGGCAAAGCGATAGAAACAGATGTTACCGTGCAGCCCAGTTACAGCAGAGTCACTCCAAAGATGGACTACAGCGTAACCATCACCGCCCAGAACTCCAGGGGCAGCTCCCCTCCCGCCTCCCTTGTGACCAAGCTGCACGTGCAGGGTAAGGACTTCCCCCGGGGCTGGCACTAGACATAGAATAGGGCAGGAATATGTCTCTGATGCAAACAAGAGAGAGGGTGGCGGGCACGGCTGGCGATGACAAGGTGGTGGCGAGGAGGAGGCACAGCTCCTCGGCGTTCAGCTGCCCTGAACTTGCCCGCTGTGCAGCAGCGTTGCTGAACGTTAACTGAACTCCTCTGGCCACACATTTCCCACGCTGACAGCCCAGCCGGCCACAGAAGAATCTCCCAGTAACCAGAAGGCTATGTTTAAAGATAAGAATCTGCTACTTGTCCTGAGGTGACATCAGCCATAATAAAACATTTTCCAAACACATTGCTAAATATTACTTAGCCCTTGCAGCATCAGACATCGCTGAGATGCTCTTGCTCCTTCGAAAGCAAATGGCACAGCTCACGCTGCACAGGGCGTTGATCACACGGGTCCTTTGGTTAGGCAGCCTGTGTGGAGAAAAGACTGACACAGGAATGTAACCGGTGTATGATTATTTGTTCAGAGGGAGTCAGATGAGAACTGTGCTGTGAGCACACTCCAATTTCCTCCAAACTGGAGGGAACACAGTAAGTATTTATACATACTGTGTATATAGAGATATACACTGTATATCTATATATAGATATATCTCAAACTTAATAAGCTGATCATAAATAACCATTAGCACCTGACACTCACTCCAAGTTAAGGGCATGTCAGGGGAGGCTGTACTGATCTGATGGGGTGTTTTGTTGCTTGGTTGTTCTTGCTGCCTTTTAAGATTTACCTCCTCCACGGAATGTCTCTGCTATCGCAATGGGAAACAACAGCATCTTAGTCATCTGGAAGCCTCCCAGTAAGTCTACAGCATTCCTCAATGGATACATAGTGGAATGGATAGATATACATAGAAACAAGAGCCTGGAACCCCATCTAAACTGGATAAAACTTCTAGCATCCAACCTGTCTGCAGTAATATCAGGTAACTACAGCTTATAAGTAGGGTATTACTGAAGCAGCCTTTTTTTTTTCTTTTTTTTTTCTTTTTTTTCTTTCTTTTTTCTTTTTTTTCTTTCTTTTTTCTTTTTTTCTTTTTTTTTTCTTTTTTTTTTAAGCTTTCTTAAGGGACAGGGCAGATTATGACTTTTATGAGTTCAGCCTGAGAAAGTAGGGCAATTAAAGCTGTTTTATGGGGAGGAAACTTGCTGCAGTTCAGCAGTTGGTCACAAGTAAAATTTTTTTATCTGGTAAATAGAAAGTCTCTCTTTCACACTCTCCCGCCCAAAAACCAAGCCCTCCCTAAAGAAACAAAGTGAATAGATAAACCTCAGAGATCAAAGGCTTAAGAGTTTTCTGCTCTAGCAATTGTTGATTATTAACCTAAACCAGCACTGAAGTATCAGTGTTCTTGATGCCAAACAGCCGTAAAGTTACGATTAGAATGCAGGGAGCATTACCCTAGCTAGTGTCTCTATGTTCTGCCCCACAGCTCTGCCTCATAGGGCTTTTAAATCCCTGCTCTTAAGCAAGCAGGGAAGGAAAAAACAAAAAAAACCTACTCTTGCCATCATTTTGTATTGTGCTTTGAAGAGGAGCAGAATGGACTGTCCATCTTTTATAACCCACAGGGTACTTGGGAAGAGGATGCTCATATGAAGTTATGAGGAAGAACTAAGGTGTCATTCTCGTGTGGCTTTTATTTTATCTTGCACAAAGCAAAATCCTGCGTATCTTATCTTTGCTATTATACAACTTCTTACTTGTAAGTGATCCAGGATTTTCTCTGGATAATTTTTCTTTTTTTTAAGCACAAAGGTGCTTAAATGGGTGCAAACAGGATTCCTCCCTTAAGAATGGTTAACGTGACTTTCTTAATAATTGGTATTTTTTTTGCCACACTGCTAAATAGGAGACCATACAGCATTTTTTTTTTTTTATCTTCTTTCTGAAGTAAAAGAAACTTCATCTCAGGTCTAAATTGCTATCATGAGTAGCTTGACCATGACTGAATACTTTAACCAGATAACTAGCCACTTTTAATCTCTTTATTTAGAGCACATAAAAGATCATGTGTGCTATCACATTGCTGTATCTGCACTTTATCAGGACAGAGCTGGAGAAGTGGCATCAGTTAGGGGATACTCAAGAGAAAAAGGTAAATCATAGCAATTCTCTTTCAAATATTTCAAGACAGTTTAAATAGTTTGGCTTTAAAAGTTGGTCTTCTGTTTTGTAGCACCATCGGTTGGGCCCCAGATGTACCCAACCCCGCAGACAAATGGCATTTTGGTTTCATGGGAAGAGATCCCTGCCAACCAGCAAATGGGCTGCATTACAGAGTACAATATTTACCTCCAAAAAAAGGACAGTAAGGCAGCGCCCGAAGTCTATGGTAGGTCTGGGGTGAAAGGGATGTGTCTGTGTGTTGTGTGGGTTGGGGAGTAAAGGGGAGAAAAGATGACTCGTTGAAGTTCTGTATAGTCTAGGATTTACAGCCTTCTAAATTATTCTTAATATCAAATATTAAGATTTCTCCACACTTTTTCCTTTTAATTATTTTCTTAAATTATAACCAATGCAGCCTTTTTTAATTATCAGCACAGTAAAGAAAGAGGCTTTCTGAAAGGCATATTCAGCAAACGCAGACACATTGTGAGACAGATCTGTCAGCTAGTGTGCACTGTGTTCCCGTATGTGCATGTTTCACCCTGTGAGTCCTCTCATCACATCCATATAGCTCCCACACACACAAAAAAATTTTTTTTCAAAATTGTATTCAGGAGTTTCAGGCAGTTTTCAACGGATGGTTCACAGTTCCAATGTACAACCCGCAGTTTACATTTGAACATTACCATAGTCAAAAGCCAGGCTATCCAGTCAGCTGTGTCTATCTGTTCAATTCCATACAATTGTCTAAGTCTCATAACAAGCCAAATGGTTCAAAGGCTCCCACAGCCTTTCTAATGATTCACTAATGTAGCAGAGCAGCACTTACTTAAAGCAGAAGTCATTGCATGCTCCTTTTATAATTGTTTTGGTGCTGTGGGGGGTCCCACAGTGGGGTGGGAACATGGAGAAGAAAAGGAAGGAAATGAAAGGCACTCCCATACATAAAATAAACCTAATAATAGGCTAGCAGAAGCCTAACAAAACAACAAAACCTCCCTTGCTTCTAAACAAGATATATTCATGACTTTATATGGCCTGGAAAAGAAAGCAAAGAGAGCACATAGACAATTATTATATAATGTCGCTTGTTTTTTTTGCAAACAGGCTGGGTTTCTGCACCAAAAGCAAAACATGCCCATCTCAATAAATAAGGGCCTTTTCTTCTTTTTTTTTCCCACAATTACATGTATTTGCTTTATTCCAATGTGTAAAAAAGAAAAAAAAAACCCATGGAAAGGGCTATTTCGGGTGAGGCAGCCTATAGCTTTCTGAGCTGG